GGGGTCAAGGCATTTATGGATTGGAACTATGTCTCAGGTTTCGCCGGGTAGGCGGGGGAATTGGGGCTGATAAAGGCGATGCGCGCTTTCGCAGGGACTGGCACCTACCTTGAGTTTTGCGCTAGAACTCTGTCTGCTCCTCACAGATGTATAGAGGCTAATCTCTGTCTGCCCAACCAAGCGCCATGGGATCCTGCAGCATAAACCCCTAACGCAGTACCAAAGTAGGGATGGGAAACTTATGGGCCCTTCTAATTTCGACCATATTCTGGCACTCGAGTAAGGTGGGTCCAAAAGCAACATGTAGTCGGCGGATGTGACGCGAGCATCGAGGTCATCACAATCTAGTAGGGGTTCTTTCACTCATGTGCTCTGCACAGCAGGTCCGTTGCGAATGTGGACGGTATGAGAAGTTCGAGACTGCATGCTCGTGACACGAAAACTGCGAACGTTGACACCATCATGCGTGCTCTTCATGTGGGATGCAGTGGAAGCAGCGAACGACTGCAAACACTGGGCCCGAAGCCTCGCACTTGTCAACCCAGGCTCAACAGCATAAACATCAATATCAAGGTGGCCATGGTTATCATCACAATCACCATCACCACCATGCACATCATCATCATACCCATCAGCATCATAGTCATAATCGTCATCATCGTCATCCCCATCATCGTCAACGTCATCGCCAGAAAGGGCGTTGAGAGAGCAAGAGCCAAAACTTAGAGCCTTGGGCTTCGGGAGCCGTACAACCTTGGGCCTCTGCGCATCATCTGCCATGTCTCCAGGTCATCCGCGACAACGCAAAGCGGGGCGACTCCCCGGTCATGGAAAAAGAGACGGCGCGCCTTCACGGGAATGGTGTCTTGTGACGGACTCCATATGTCGAACTGAAACACATTGAAGCTTGCGTGGTCACTCAAGAAGTGCAAACAAACGGAGTGCGGGCGAGGGGGGGGAGCGCGGAACTCTCAGCCGTTTTGAGACTCCGGCCCCAGGAAGCTTCTCAAGACAATTCAACACTAACTTTTACTTCAACGTAACCTTGTTCCACCCAGCTCTCATCGCTGGGCGCTAGCAGCTGCTAAGTCTGATATCCCACCCTGCAGCTGTTCTTCTCATGCCCGGACAGTGGCTTCCCTGCCTGCATTCCCGGCGCATTGTGCACACAAGCCGCACCCTTCAACATCCCGGTCTTGATACCCAAGAAATCGACGCTCAGAAGTCTTGGCCCATGGGCTCGCAGGCTCCATACGTCACCAACAGTTCCTCCACTAGCTCAAAACCAAGCCCCCCGAATGACCTGTGCACTCCAATAAGCATCTTGTACCAGTTATGATGATGTACTGTTGGAGAAGGCGATGAGGAAATTACCGGAGTAGACGGCTTCTTGTTCATCATCTTTGTCGTCCTCCTCCTCATCGTCGTCATCATCATCGTAACCAGCTTGCGGGGGTGGTCGCTTCCCAGAAACATCAGGACAAGGACAAGTACATGCACAAGAAACACAAGCAAGAACCGCAGGAACCAACAACACACGCAACTCTGGTTGAAATTGAAATCGTTGCACGTTGGGCACCTTATCGTACAAACGCAGTGGTCTACGATGCCCAAATGAGGGAGCAAACCCTCTGCGAAGCCCCCCCGTGAACGCTGCGGACCCTACCCAGGCCGTAGACCCTAAAACATCCTGATACCAAACCCTTTTATAAGACCCGCCTACAAGTAAGAAGACACACCCACCAGGCCCACTGACTTGAGGCCTCTTTCGAGAAGCCGAAAGATGGAAACGCTAACATATCTTGGCGCTCGCCAAAGCCCCAGCACACCCAGGCCCCCTTGCCCCGACCCAACCCAGAACTGTTGGCTCTCAGCTCTAAGCTTTTCTTCCCCAACAAGCGCACCATAAGCCTGAAAGACTTGTCTTCAAACTCCAAACATGAAACGGCAACAGCACTCCCCAATCGAATAACACTTTTTTCAGGAAGAACAAACCTAAAAGCTTTTCTAACGAAGTCCAATCTGAATGTCTTGGATGCAAGAACTGCGCACAATTGCCAGAAGACGTTTTTCAATACTGGCACATGTCATGTCAGAAGCGACAACAAAAGTACCTGCTCAACACACTGACCTGACATGATCTTTCCAAGCTTCCTATAGAATTTCCTTGTATACCGCCCTGGAGCTTGGTCGGCTGCCGCCGGGTGCGTACATGATCTTCCCGGTAAACCGTTGTACTGCAAGCTGATCTAAAACATGGCTCAATCTAATTGGCTTCGCAAGAAGATTCAGACCGAGAGCCGGAGAGAACCGCAATGCCATATCCCAATACCAAGCAAAGCGCGCATGCTAGGTGCGACTGAACGCATGCGAAACGACTCGCAAAGGTAGAGGTGAACAACAGGGAACTACTAGTAGCAACAGTTCTTGGTGGGGAACCGATGCGGCTGATGAGATTTGCGGCACCATGATAGGAACGATCCGTCTATTCAACCCTTTTTTGCAACTTCTCGATTCGACCCTAAGCCCCAAACTTTTAGAGCTGAAAGTCTCTGTAGGATATGGTAATCCTGAACCCAAGCCGTAAGCATGAAAATGAAATCAGACCCGCTAAACCCTAAACCTCAACCCTTAAGGTTTTGTAGTCACAGCGATGGATTCGTAGACCTCTCCCCACGCGACCTTGGAAAGCCAGGCCGTCGGATTGTGCGCGTATTGCGAAGAGACTTCGTCGTCGTAGCTGCAGAAGCACATCTCCTGCTCCAGTACGCGTATAGGCTGTAATTAGAGGGTTTAGACGATGGGCTGAGGGTCTCAGATTGGCGGGCCAGCTTCTTGCCGCGTCATTTTGGGGCTTGATGTCAGTCTCATCAGGCGTCAGCAACAAATGGCGTCATCCTTTGCCATGCCCAGTACCATCACAATCATAGCAGTCCTGGTAGTCGTCAGCACTATCAAGCGACATCGCCATAGTCACAGGCAACCCGGCTTCTATCAAGCTGACACCCTCAACTTCGATTCCAGTAGAAACCTTCAGGAAGAGCTTGCAACGATGTAGTAGTGAGCTGCTTGGACACATCGGCCTAGGCCTAGGTTTCCAGCCTCTTATTGAGTTGAGAGCTTCCAGCTTGGAGAAGGACCCGGCAATCTCAGTCCACGAGGACTCCAAAAGCTGAGATCACGGCAAATCATAGCTCCCAAAAAAGACCCGATATCTGTTGACCCATTAGAGACCACTTCCCCTTCCGGCCAGGGCACTTCCGTCCCGTCGCGCGGCACCGGCTTCTGGCCGTCTTTTGGGTCCTCCACGGCGATGCGCAGGAACGCCAAACAGTGCGCGAACGACCTGCCTGAGCGGAGCTGGGAGGGTGTTTAGTGATATCCGATGTAAAAGCCAAACCCACACACCCCATACTCGCTTCCTTCGAACCCCAGTGTGTGCTACCAGGATCTCCCAGAGCCAACTGCCCATCCTGTATCCCAACAGCTTTGCAGGATCCCGAGCCTCTGAGCGGGACGACTAGGACCCGAGAGTGTCGTGGTGGAGAGCAGGGCTCGCACAAGGCAGGCAGGATTCACAGTTCGGGTAACAGTAACACTGAGCAATCATGAATTCGGAACCTAAGTTTTGGATCTGGGTTCTCAGATAAGCCTGGCACGCTCACAAAAGCAGCAAGGGTGCTCGGACTCCAAACATCCCGGATGCCACAAGAGCAGGCGCCGCCTCCTGCCTGCTAGGACTGCTAGGAGCTGATTGGCCCGCTGTTGGTCTTCGAGCAAAGCTACTGGTGCTTCGGATTTGGGTGATTTCAAGGTGGCGCAAGGCCCTCGCTTCTCTCCTCAAGTCCACGATTGGGTTCTTTCCGCAGATATCGATTCCATGACAAAAGTGATCGCACGTGCTTACATTCAGGGTTGCGACTAACCAGTGCCTTCAACAAAGTTGCGGGCGTTATCCCACCCGAAGGACAGCTTGAAACTTCAACTCGCACATGTGCCAATTGAAACCTTAGAATAAGTCCTGACTGGAAGCTGCCCAAAAGGCCAAACCATGCCAAACTCACACACAGTGCTTGATGGATCACACCACCGAAACGCCGAATGTGCGCCAGATGGCAGCTGAGCATGTTCAAACACACCGCAACACCCGATCAAATCCCCAAACATCATCAGCCCACCCCGTTTTTGCACCCTCCGGAACGTGAACCCTTGAACCCCTGCCTGCCCACCCCGAACCCCTGACGTGGCCCCAGAACTCTGTCGTGGCCGAGGGTCGTTCAGCAATGGATGGTGAACCACGGCCTCTGCACTGCACCCCAGCACTAGGTCGTGACAGTTCCACCATTCCTGAGATAGGCTTCAGGGTGCGAGATTCAGAGGTTGGTGGTGCGGGATGATGGAAATCTTGAGGTTTTGCTTCAATGTCCTCTACTGAATGAGCAAGGGCCAGCGATTCAGGGCTTCAACTTCAGAGTGCTGGTTGAAACCTGTACGAGGTTCAGACAATGAAGCACCCCGATTTTAAACCACAGGAAGTAGACTCCGGATTGCCCTGACCTGTCCGTGAATTCTGAGAGGCCGGATTACGGGGCCTATAGGCAGAAGTGGAATTGAAAAATCTGGTCCTGGGATGAAAACTTTATTCAGGGCGAGCGGGTTATCTACAGCAGCTCCTGCTGCTACTACCACCTGCATCATGTCCACTAGCAACGTCGACTAAGTATTGTTGCCACCACTACTACCTCTGCCTCTGATGCGACGAAGATACGACGATGCTAGGACAGCTCAACCAATAAAACTGAAAAACGAAAAACCTAGCTAGCACCCTGAATCGTCAACCCTGAGGCCCTACAATACCACGAAGAAGCACCGAAAACAGAAAAGCCGAAAAAAGAGCGTCTCTGTCGACCGACTCCTCTGGCCCTCCTGACCGCTCCTCTTCGTCCTCTTCGTCCGATCCGTCCCTTCGGAAGCAAATTTTCAGCTCCTGGAGACTTCCCAAAGTCGCGAAAACATTCCGAATCATATGCCGTACTAAAATTAAACCGCACATTGCCTGTCAACGTTGAGCATTTTGGGGATGGATTTAGTCCTCGGCGGTCTTCTGCGCGACCCTGCCCTTCAAGCGTCGGCCATCTTGACTGCTGGCCGGGATGAGGAAAATCCACCAACCCACCTCAACCTTGATCGGCATAGGGTTTCAGTACGGACATTCGGTTGACGGGGTTCGCAGGAATATTACTTGATCAGGCGTGCAACGAGCCGAACCCGACCGAAAGCCGCAACCATCACATGCAGGTGTAAGCTGAAGGTGGGAAGGCCTTACAGAGTCTTCCAAGCTGCTTGTAATACTCAAAAACAACTGCAAGATTCACCTTTCTTGAGCACTTTTCTTCACGCCTTTGCCGCCGCGAAAGATGTGTCGTTCGATTTGTATTTAAAAATTTTGTTCAAGTTGCAAAAAAACTTCGAGTGTTTTTGGTTTTCGTGGATTTGACGACGGTTTGATCATCTTGTTTTCCGTGTCTTCTGTTCCTTGTTGTTTAGTTGGTGTGTGTCTGTTTCTGTGTGTGTGTCTGTTTCTGCGCGTGTGTCTGTGCGTCTGTCTGCGCGTGTGTCTGTGCGGGTGTCTGTGCGTGCGTCTGTGCGTGTGTCTGTGTGTCTGTGTGTCTGTCTGTCTGTCTGCCTGCCTGCCTGGCTGGCTGTCACTGTGTGTGTTCTGGAAAGTGCCTTAGTGCTTCTTCTTTAGTGGAAAATTAGTGGGATTCTACTGGGAGTTTGCCGGGAGTTTGGGAATTCAGTGGGAAGAACCCGAAAAGGGGGAATTGAGTGGGAATGGTGACTGATTATCGTGGATCACAACAGAAGGAGTGAGCCGCCGACTAGAGGGTTGGAGAAGCACTGGTCAAACCGCTCGAAAAGAACTAGAGTGCTTGAGAGACAGAGAGCAGACAGCCCGAAAGGAAATAAACTGTTCGAGAATCCATAAGCACACTGCTCAACAAAGACTAGAAAGTGTTGTAAACAGTGAGAGAACCTTCTGCAAGGGACCAAGGTAGAGGGAGTAAACCGCTCCAAAGAGACTAGAGTGTTCGTGAGAAAATAAGCAAACCGCTTGAAAGGGAAAAGAATTTTTGAGAAGCAACAAGCGAACCGCTCGACAAGGAACGCGGAGCAAACCGCCCGAAAGGAACTAGAATATTTGAGAAACAACCAGCAAATCGTTCGAAAGGAACTCCAGTATTTGAGAAACAGCAAGCAAACCACTCGAAAAGGAAAGGGGTGTTCGGGAAACAGCGAGCAAACCACCCGAAAGGGACCGCAGAAATTGAGACCCAGAGCAACCCGCTCGAAGGGGTCTAGAATATGTGAGAAGCACTGAGCAAACCGCTCGAAAGAGCTTGGAATGGCTTGGAGCGTTTGAGAAACAAACAGCAAACAGCCCGAAAAAGACTGGAGTGTTACAGAAACCATAATAAGCAAACCGCTCGGAAAGGTGTGAACAGTTGAGAACCAAAAAAACAAACCGCGCAAAAGGGATGCTGCCATTAAGACACAAGCAGCAAGCCGCTCGAAGGGGACTAGAGTGTCTGAGAAGCACTGAGCATACCGCTCGAAAAAACTAGAGTACGTGACAAACAAGGGGCAAAACTGGCGTGTTTGAGAATCAGAGAGTACAGCGCCCAAGACTTAGAGTATTTGAGAAACAAGCAAACTGCTCGAAAAGACTATTGGAGAAACAAAGAGCAAGCTAAACACGGAGCGAACCGTTCGAAAGGGACGTCAGTGTTGAGAAACAGTGAGCAAACTTCTCGAAAGGAACTAGGGTACAAAGAGCAAACCGAGCAACATGGACTGTTGTAATTGAGACACAGGGTGCAAGCCGCTCGAAAGGACAGGGCGCAAGCGGCTCGAAAGGAGACTAGAGTATTCGAGACACAGGGAGCCAATCGCTCGAAAGGGGCTAGAATCATTGAGAAACTCGAGCAAGCTGCTCGCAAGGGGCTGTAATACGTGAGACACGGAGAGCAACCCGCTCGAAAGCGACTGCAGTATTTGAGGAACAACATGCAATCCGCGTGAAAGAGACTAAAGAATTTGAGAAACAGCCAATAAGGACTATAGAGCTCTTGAAAACGAGTTCTTGACAACAAAAAGCAATCTGCTCGTAAAACACAAAAAAGTTTAGGCAACAGCGAGAAAGCCGCTCGAAAGGAACTAAGTTGCTTGACCATTCCTGCACCGAGAATGGAACGGCGCCAGGCCCTCGTTTTCAGCGAACGACCGCTGATGATCCAAAATCGCATTGCTTGTCAATTCGGCCTCTCGGAGACTTAAAAGGTCTGCTGCTTTCAAACCCATCTGGTTCAAACACGGTTGGAGTCTGAGAATTACAGCCAAAAGCTCTGTCGAGTGTCGTTCAGCATGTGGCCATCTGATAAGCCAGGGATCGTCCATTCCATGAGAGCGGTGTCCTCTTGATACAGCAGGTATCGCGAACACGAAACCCTCCAGCAAGCTCGATGGACAACTGTATTTTAGAACGAGCCTGTGCCCCGAATCCGAATTACCAGATGACTACACCGCCCACGCTAGGCCAACAAGCCCGGTCTTGATGCTGAAACGCCCGCAGCCCAGATGCATCGCCTCGAAGTGCGGTTTGAGCCTCGATCCAGACGGACCTCCCGAGATGATGTCCGTTGTGGCCGTCCGCTGAACCTCGTCGAAGCTGGAGGTCTCGTACTTGGCTTGCCCTGTAGCACAAGTGCGGTTGTCCTTGCTGAGGTCGTCCAAAACCCTATGCCCCAAACCAATCCCTAAAACCCGAAAGCGCTGAACCTTAAACCCTAAACCCTAAAGCCCTGGTCCTTTCGGATGCGTTTTGGCCGTTTTAACACCAATACAATCCTAGCCCCCCTGATGTCTTTGATTAAGTTTCAACTGTGGGCCCGAAACCGCTCGGAAGGGACCAGAGTACTTGAGAAGCAATGAGCAAACCGCTCGACAGGAACTTAGGGTATCTGACAAACAAGGAGCAAACCGCTCGAGAAGGAGTAGAGTATTTGAGGAAAAGGAGCAAACCGCTCGAAGGGGATGGTGAGAAATCTACCAGAAAGGGATCAAGGTAAACGGGGCAAACCGTGCCAAACAGACGAGAGTTTTTGAGAAACAGGCAGCAACCCGCTCGAAAGTGACTAGAGTGTTTGAGAAACAGAGAGCAGACAGCCCGAAAAGGAACGCGGAGCAAACCGCCCCAAAAGGACTGCAGTTTTTAAGACGCAGGGGGAGCAAACCGCTCGAGACGGACAAGCGTGTCTGAGAAACATGGAGCAAACCGCTCGAAAAGGACTGGGGTGTTTGAGAAACAATTCTAAGCAAACTCCTTTGAAAGGATTCGAGTACATGAGAAACGACAAAAGTGTTTGAGAAACATGGGACACAGAAGCAAAGCGCTCGCAAAGGACAAAAGAAACAAGGAGCAAACCGCGCGAAAGGAATTGCAGTCATTGATACACAGGGAGCAAACCGCTCGAAAGGGACTGCAGTAATTGAGACGCAGGGAGCAATCTGTTCACAAGGGACTGGAGATTGTGAGAAACATGGAGCAAACCGGTGGATAGGAACAAGAGTATTTTAGAAACAAGGAGCAAACCGCTCGGAAAGGACCTGAGTATATAAGTCCTGCGACTATATGAGACACAGAGGGCGCACCGCTCGAAAGACACAACATCATTTGAGAAGCAAACCGACCAAAAAAGGACAGCAATAATTGAGGCCGCCAGGTCGTGAGGCCGCGATGCCGCGAAGTCGTGAGGCCGCAGACGCGAGGTCCAGTGGCCGCGACCCATCTGAGGTCGGTTGGTGAAGGGCCGAGAGGTCGCAAGGTCATGAGGTTAGGCGAGGGTACCCAATCCCGTAATCTCAATGTCAGGTCTGATCTCACCCCTGCACCGAAGCAAAAAGAAAAAAACACATGAACTCCGAAGCGGAGCAAGCTTGGATCACTGCAAATACCGATAAAAGAGGCATGCGAATGTGCAAAAACCTCGGGTCTTTTACTGCACAAATTATAATAATTACAATTCGAAATTAGGCGGGTGACGTCGCGGATAATTTCCCGTAGCGGTCGCTATTTAATTTCAAATTCGAAATTAGCGGGCTTGGGGCTGTGTGGCTAATAAGAGGAGCAGCAGAAGTTGCAGAAGTGGCAAGTCGTCAAGTAAAAGCAGCAGCAGTCGTCCGTCGCCGTAGAAGTAACAGTAGTAGTAGTACTAGCAGAAGAAGTAGTGGTAGTAGTAGTAGTAGTAGCAGTAGTAGCAGCAGTAGCACTATTAGCTCCAGCAGCAGTAGAAGTCGCAGAAGCAGCAGTCGCAGCCTCGTAGCAGCAGTCGTAGCAGTAGTAGTCGTAGTAGCAGCAGTAGAAGTGGTGGTGGTGGTGGTGGTGGTGGTGGTGGTGGTGGTGGTGGTGGTAGTAGTCGTTGTGGGAGTAGAAGCAGAAGGACTGTTTTTTTTTGCTTTTTTTGTTGCGAGCTCAGATTCCCAAGCTGTCTGTCCCCGTGCAGTCAATTTGGACTGACACTCAAGACAGCAATGTCAGGGATCCGGCAGTCCATCTTTCTTTTTTTTCTTAGGCGGAGACAACTCCGCATAAATCTCGGAAAGCTGCACATTGTCAGCTGCCACCATCTGTACAGAAGCATCCCCACTTCGCACAAGAAGTCTGGCCTTGTTGGACTGTGTGAGCTGAGCGACACGCTTCTTGCGTTTGTAGTTTGGCCGAGGCTTCCCCTTGTCGCTCCTTGGAGCACGCCTCCGGCGCAAAGCCGTCCGTCGCTCTGTGGCGCTGAACCTGCCCAGGACCCGTTTGATGAAGCCGCTGGCCCTGGCTTCCTTGACAGGCCTTGCGCATGCCCCGATCAACAACTGTTGTTGCAAGAGTGGCGCCGTGGAATCGCATCCCAAGTGCTTCCTTTGGCTGCAATAAAAGCACTATCTGGATCAGAAAGGGTCTTTTAATGGGGAGTGCGAAAAGAGCACTATCTGGATCAGATAGGGTGTTCTTTAGGACTGTCACAAACATGTCCGCCAAGCGGCTTGTACTCCTCGACAGTTGCGAAAGCGCGCTCACATGCAGCACTCTAAAAAAACGATACGCAAGGCAACCTGCATTTTTTGTCCAAGCTGCGATGTGCGCAAACTTAGGTTTTGGCACAGTGCAACCCCGAAATCGCTGCACCCTTCGCGGCTGGGAGAGCACCTATTTTCACCTTGTCTCCATGCTCACATCAGCAGAGTTTGAAATAAGCATTAACAACATCAAGAAGCAGGTTGTCAAAGTGCTAATCCGGTGAAGATAGTGTTTGCAGTGGTGGCGTTGTGTTGCAGCTGATTTCATTGTCGCGGTGGCGCCTGCGCAGTGTTCTGGCCTATGACTACACGACCCAATGAATTCAGTAGCACCCCACCTCGTCCCAGGTGACCGGGAAACCGACAAAGCGCGCAGAACTGTCGAACTTCGGCGGCTGGAATGGGTAGGCACTCCTCTTGGTACACTTCTCGATTTGTGGCTTCCGACAGATTCTCTCTTTAGGCCTGATTTCTGCTTCTTTGCTTAGTCGTAATGTATGTGTAGAGGCTCGGGTCAGACATGACAGCACGCCATCGAAAGTCCCTACAACGGTGAGTCTCCAGATGAAGAGAGGCTTGCGGGTTACAGCATGCAGCGTTCAGGATCTGGAGGGAATCCTGAGCCTGAGCCCTCAACCCTGAACCTAAAACGCGAGAGCCTCCACCAAATCGAGGGCACTCTCGGGGAGTCCCATCCCGCGAACGCACGACCCTATGTCTTGTAGGATTGCTTGCGCGGCATGCAGGGCCATGTAGGGGATGTAACTATCAGGGGTTTTTTGTTCGAGGCTTGTGGCAGTCCAGAAAGCACTCCCGGAAAGCCTGACAAATTCAGTCCACTCCAAAGGACAGGTAGTTCAAACACTCCAACCACCTCGCGCGCGGAACCCAAGCTGCAAACTCCATCTCCAGCCAGGCGACGGATATCGCAGCCAGTAGACCAAATGAGCCCCCTGTAAAGGCCCCTGCCTGAGAGCTCGACCCCAAGAGTGCAGATGGTTCAGGGTTTTGTGTTGGTTTCCTGCCCAATTCGCTTCAAGTCGCGAGGGGCGAAGCTCGGCTTCCCAGCAATACCAATCGTTGCTCGGATGCACCGTCCTTCGGAGCACCAAGTCGCTGTGCTACTTGTAAAGCACGATGCTGCAGAGAGAGTGTCCGGGTGCAGAGTTAGATTCAAGGACAGGGAATTGTGAGAACTCGACGAGCCTTGGATCTGGGGATAGCATCGTTTCAAGGGTCTGCCGACACAAGGAAAGGACTAGTGGAGCAATCATAAGGGCATTCCACAGGACCGGAAGCTGTTGGATGCACATCGCGAAGTCTTGGTCGCACCGACCTTATGTCATGTGCATGTCTTGTGTGTTTGCAGCATAAGCCCTTCCCAGCCGCAACCCCCGGCCGCCCCTCAACCCTACTCTATGCTCTGTTCAGGCTGGCTTATAAAAGCCACGAGGACGAAAGCACACAAAGGTCACAACAGTCTTGCAAAGGTGCTCGACAAAAAGGTAAGGGGTTCCGGTAGCTTCCGATGGGACGCAGGGACGCTTAAGACCCGAAAACAGGCCCCTACACCTCGAACACTTTCGAGCGGTCCAGAACTCGCGCTCCCCCTGCATGATGGGCTCGCTGAGCTTGCCCACCATGCTGGGATTCCTGAACTTTCTGAAAAGGTTCGGAATTTGCCCTTACTACGACTGCTGCCTCTTCTACTTCTACTTTCACGTCTGCTTCCACTTCGACTGCTATCACTACCACTACCACTACTAACACTACTACACTACTACTAACTACTGCTACCACTACTCCTCCTACTCCTCCTACTCCTACTCCTACTCCTACTCCTACTCCTACGCCTACTCCTTCTCCTACTACTACTACTACTACTACTACTACTACTAGTACTACTAGTACTACTAGTACTACTAGTACTACTACTGCTACTACTACTACTACTCCTGCTACTACTACTACTACTACTACTCCTACTACTACTTCTACTTCTTCTACTCCTGCTACTACTACTACTACTACTGCTACTCCTACTCCTACTCCTACTCCTACTCCTACTCCTACTACTACTACTACTACTACTACTACTACTACTACTACTACTACTTCTACTTCTTCTACTGCTACTACTACCACCTCCTGCTGCTGCTGCTACTACTGCGTGACCGCCTGTCGCCCTTCATGGTCAGTCCGTGACCCTCAACCTTTGACCTTCGACCTTAAACCAGAAGACTAACCCACACGACCGGGGGTTTTGGTACCACTACCACTCACTGCGTAGCTCTTAGCACTTACCACCTAGGACTTATACGCCTTACGACTTACCACGTACCACTGCCGCTACGAATTTTCCTGCTGCTACTACATACCGCGACTACCACTACAATGGCAACGGCTGCTGCTTGTATGCAGTCAATATCGAAATTGAAGGCATAGTTCACTGAAAAATGACAGTCGCAGCTGTGTGTAACAGCTTGACGACTCCAATCTGCCCTTCTGGGAGGTACCCCAAACCAGTAAGAACATCAACACGATGCAGCACAGATTCGGCAATGTATTTAGTCTCCGTGAATCGTTGCGTCGTGGCTGCACGACATCGTTTTTCATCACAAGATTTGGGTTTGGCGTACTTCTGCTTGACCAAGCCACAACCGGCACAGCTGCCAAGGGCTGATTGCTTGCAACAGTCAGGACTCTAGAAACGAACCTGTAAACCCTCCACGTGGAGATCCAAATGAGCTGAGCCACGCCTCCTCCTCACATCCCCATAACCTCCACTCCTTCTGCAGCCGCTTCAGAGCCATGCCGGCTGGCTTGGTCGAGTTTTACTGATTAAGCCCTCGGATGTTGGGGGTTTGCGGTCGGGTCTGGGTCTGGGGGAGAATATGCAAGATGAAGATGCCACAGTGCTACTTTCCTGTCATCCGTCCCGTATCTTGAAGCCTGCAATGGGGTGCAGTTGCGGGGCACATGTGCCATATGCGACGCACACCATTTCAAGCATACAACAACCTCGCTATCCACGCAAAGCAAGCAAGCCCACAGCCAGCAGACTGGAACTACATGTCTGAGCCTTGGGGCCTACAAGCCAGACCTGACTTCGGGCTCGTCTTCTGAAAGTAGAAACTTCACGACACCATCTCATAAGGTGCTTGGGGACATAGGTGGACAAGACGTCGGCTGATAAATCGGTGGTCTAGGTGGAGATCAAGATATTGACGTCACAGTGTGCAAATATGGTGAGCTTCGGCACATGCGAACTGTCTGTTTTACCTCAGCAACCAGTTGCATGAACAAGTTTGTGCACATGTGATGAAACCAAACGTGCGTATCAATGACCATCAAGCAAACACGATCAACATCCGCGAATCTGGTGAGCACGATGACAGCCAAAAACCCATCAGAGAAATATCGACAGCTTTCAAGGACCGCTGCGACGCCAAACACTATTTGTGAGAGTCAACCTCTTTGGATTGAATATGCTACTGTAGAAAGCCTTACTTTCTATCATCTGCGTGATGACTTGGGCACATATCAGCATTCCAGGAATTTATCCGACGGCTAGTTACGGCTGCGAGTGTTGTTTTGCCCTATCGCTGCTCTAGCTACAGTACCTCTACCCGTTGCCTTTTGCTAAGGCCAAAGAACTACGAGTACCTTCTTCGTTAAGTCTCGGCCCCACAAAGCCTGAACCAGGGCTTGCAAGACGGCTTCATTTTCCCCTTTCGCTTTAGCAGGCCAGGACCTGCATGAGACGTCGACGTCGTGGGTGTTGGGTTTCGAGTTTTTGTCCGATAGCAGTTTGGAAGTCCTAGCGTTAAAGCGTCAATTCGGGCTCGCTCTTGTATACGTAAAATCTTACCCTTTCATGACCATTCGCTCGGCCGGCCAACTTGGGTGTGCCGATGGCCGCTTGTGGCCCGTGCTGCCGCTGGTCTATGTCACGCGAACAGAAACCAAGCTTTGGTTTGTAACGAACACATAGCGCGAATGCCAATATGTTTTGGTTGGCATGGCAAGGCACGTCTGTTGCGAACAACCGTCTCTCATAAACAGGGTTGCCGTAAACAGGCCGAATGCGTGATGTGCACGTTCGAGCTCGGTTGAAGCTCAGAAACGAGGGCTGAAGATTCTTCAAACCTGGCTAGTCCGTTCTTGTACAGTCAATGCCTACTTCCACGAACTTCCCCAAGTTCTACCTTGAAGACCTGAGTGCTGTAACACCGAAACTCAAACTCTGCAAGGCCCGGACAAAACAACTCAAACCAGCACCATGGATTCCAGAAACCGGGAAATCAAAGCCACAACCCCGGTTCTACACCCGAGCATCTAAAATCAAAGGGAGCCCATTCTAACCCCGAGCCCCTAAACCCCCAAATCACCTGAAGTCTCACAGCCGTAGAACCCCAATCACCCTAAACCCCTAGGTGAACCGGTAAGCGCCACACTCAGAGCGGAAGCTGTCCCGTGGGGTCCACGAGGGCATCGCGGTGGAGGCCTTTGCAGCTGGCCGGCTCCTCAGCGGTTTCCGAAGGATGGGGATCCAGAGCTTCTTGTTTTCGGGGTTTAAAGGCTTCCGAATCTAGACTTTGAGGGCTTTAAGACCCAGGGCACTTGGTGATTTTATGAGCGTTGTCGAGACTTCAGGAAGCAAGCCTTGGATCTCTGACTTTGGCCCGGCAAATCAGAGGGGCTAGAACTCAGGGCCAGTACAGGCCAGTACAGAGTTTTGATGGGCTTTGTGAGCTTTGGGGCTTTGCTTGGCGAGCCGTTGCAGCGAGGGAAAGCCATGGACACTGAGATCCCTGTCCACAAGTTGGCCCGAGATCTGAAGATCCTGGGACAAGCTCTGGACTCATGAAGTCGCAAACCTTGCGCGGCAATGAGTTCTACCCAATCCTAGCTCTTACCCCACGAACCGGTGCCAGAAACCTGCAACCCTAAGTACGTAGGACCTTTATGCTCTATTTGGCATTCGGCTTCGTTGTTATAATTCTTTGCCACAGAGATCCGTATTCGAATATCTAGCCTTTCAAGTTTTAAAAGTTTTCAATGTTTGAATGGCTTCTAAAATCTTTGAAATCTAATTGGCTGAACAGGATTTTTAAAATTTTAATGGCCTTAAAATCTTTAAAATCCTTAAAATTTAAATGGGCCAAGGTTTGGGCTTTGGAAAAGTTAGCAAACCATTAAATTTTTAAAAATCTTTAAAATTTAATTGGCCGGCCAATTATTGTTTAAGGATTTTTAAAATTTTAATGGGCTTAAAATCTGGAAAAGTTAGCAAACCATTAAATTTTTAAAAATCTTTAAAATCTTTAAAATTTAATTGGCCGGCCAATTATTTTTAAGGATTTTTAAAATTTTAATGGCTTAAAAATCTTTAAAATCCTTAAAATTTAAATGGGCCAAGGTTTGGGCTTTGGAAAAGTTAGCAAACCATTAAATTTTTAAAAATCTTTAAAATCTTTAAAATTTAATTGGCCGGCCAATTAATTTTTAAGGATTTTTAAAATTTTAATGGCCTTAAAATCTTTAAAATCCTTAAAATTTAAATGGGCCAAGGTTTGGGCTTTGGAAAAGTTAGCAAACCATTAAATTTTTAAAAATCTTTAAAATCTTTAAAATTTAATTGGCCGGCCAATTATTGTTTAATGATTTTTACAATTTTAATGGCCTTAAAATCTTTAAAATCCTTAAAATTTAAATGGGCCAAGGTTTGGGCTTTGGAAAAGTTAGCAAACCATTAAATTTTTAAAAATCTTTAAAATCTTTAAAATTTAATTGGCCGGCCAATTATTGTTTAAGGATTTTTAAAATTTTAATGGCCTTAAAATGTTTAAAATCCTTAAAGTTTAAATGGGCCAAGGTTTGGGCTTTGGAAAAGTTAGCAAACCATTAAATTTTTAAAAATCTTTAAAATCTTTAAAATTTAATTGGCCGACCAATTATTTTTTAAGGATTTTTAAAATTTTAATGGCCTTAAAATCTTTAAAATCCTTAAAATTTAAATGGGCCAAGGTTTGGGCTTTGGAAAAGTTAGCAAACCATTAAATTTTAAAAAATCTTTAAAACCTTTAAAATTTAAT